TGTGTGTGTGTGTGTGTGTGTGTGTGTGTGTGTATACTGTATATATATAATTAGAATTGCACATCAATGACATCTTTTAAGCTGTGCCTTTTTATATAAAGCAATATGACCTTTTTATTTGTTCATGCTTTACATTGTCTTTATTACTCATGTTAGTTGTCAAAAAATGTTCATCGTTCCACCTAGTCTCTCTTTTATAACGCAGCCTGTGTGTAACATGTCAGCGTCAACCTCCCACCCCTCGATACGGTATCACACTGTTACCTTTGTACGTGTGCGCAGGACTGAATGGATAAGATAATCCATTGCTCTCCCACCTCTGTCACCCACTGCCTCCTTCTCTCCACCCTCACCGCAGCTGTTTATCAGCGCTTCCATTCCATCATCACTCCAAATCCTCATGGAAGCCTCCTCTGACTTTTCTCTAAATTAGATCAGTCCAGGTCAGTCAGCACCCAGGTTTGTGTGTGCATTAACATCCCCCGTGTGTTTCGTGTGTCGATGCATCCAGCTGTTCATTTGTGTGGAAATGTGTGCACTCACTGACACTTTTATGTTCATTTAGGGATTGTATAAAAAATATAAAGGAGTTAGCTATTTTGTACAACCAGGTGAGGAAAAAAAGTTATTTTGTTTCTTTAGCCTCCAGATTTGACTTTTAATGTGATGAGAAAAGAGATGTTTGTTAGTAATCACAAGGCGTTTACAGCCTTTCTTAGACATTTGACCAAATAAAGCCTGCAAACTAAATTTTAAAAGGTATTTAAACGTATTTATGGTCACTTTACAATGATGCTGCCTCTAGCAGGAAATAAAAAGTGAGGGGCTGAGAAGAAAAAACGTGTACAAAGCCCTTCATTTAGGTTGGATTATCCTCCAATGATGGCAGTAATTACTCTGTTTTCACTGTGGCCTCTGTTCTGGGAAATCTCTAACCTGTGATCATGTAAGCTATTAGAGATAAAAACTGCCCAAATTACTTTCTCATTAGAGACTGTCTGAGCTTCTATCAAAAGTAAAATCAATTGTAAATCCTGATTCCTAGAAGCACTTTGTGGACGTGTTACAACTTTGTACAAAGAGGAGACTTATTGAAATGTAAAATTTTGAGTTAAAAAAGAAAAACATGATTTATTTGTCCCCCAGTAGTTTGACTGCATGTATTTCCTGATGGGGAAATAKGTAAATTAAGGCAGTACAGAATGAACTGATATGATTTTTTTAAATGACCATCATGAAAAAAAAAACACATTTGTGACCCATCCTATCAAAATGAGGATTAGGTCGAATTTTGTCAAAATGACCTAATCACTTGTTCAGATTCCTGGCTTTAAAATACATTTTGATACCTGGTTCATTCTAATATCATAAGCAGGTCCAGGAATCTGACTTAATTTGTCTTGTTGGTTACGACAATACATTTAAAATTTGGTCTGAACCCCAATTTTATGTCATTTTAAGTAGGAATCTTTGATGGTGTTATAAAGAGTGAGCCTCAAAAAGTATTTGAATATTAAGATTTCCCAGCTGGGAAGAAACAAAAACTTTGCTAACTTGCAGGGAAAATCTCAACAATTTAAAGCTTTTTTTTTTTACTCTAAATCAGTTTCTTTTGTTGCTATTACTCAAAAAAGCGCCACAGTTTTTCTCTAGCATTATATTTCATAGTTCATTCAAATGACACATTGATAAGGCATTTATTTGTTATATTTTCACAAAATGGAATTTTTGCAAACATTTTATTCAAAACCCTATATCTGCTTATTTTTTTGCATCCCACTTTTAGATCTAATCCTTGTTTCTATATGATGGGTCACATTTATTAAAAAAATACAATAAAAA